ATATATATATATATATATATATATATATGTGCGTATGTGTGTGTGAGTATGTGTGTGTACTATATTTGTAGTCATTTGAACTGCGTGCCGAATTGGTTTTCCGAACTTATAAATACAATTAAACTACTGTAATAATATCATAAATTAAACTATGACAAACAGTTTTTAATAATTTGATGCTTAGGCATCATATTAGAAAGATGCGATTATATGATATATTTCAAGTTTAAATCTTGAACTTTCAGCAAACTGTATTTTATCTATAATTTGCTGATTTGATTTAGATTCAACATAGAATTTGTATTTTAAAATGTTTGTATATATACACGTATTTCCTGTATAACACAGTATCCCACAATATGGTTTTATTCTAATACATGCATAGAGAATTGATGCTTTGATATGAGTAATGAAGGTAATCAAGTCTTATTAGTACAAAAAAGTAAAGGAGACCGTAAGACTAATGAAGCTGATTTGATCGAAATGACATCTGATTGTGAGTGAAATAAAATTAATTCAGAGAATAAGAACTTTGATGAAAATTCTGTTCAAAATTTTACTTTAAAAAGCATGCAAAAAGACATAAACTTGACTGAGCAATTGAAATTCTATTTTTTAAATATAAATCCTTTAACTAAAGGAAGCATAAAAACGAAAACAAACATTTAACTCCATACGAAAATTATAAAGATGTTTTAAAAAAATATAAATGAGTCAAAAATTACTGATTTTTTGGAAAGCTAAACATAAACATTTAAATGTTTCAAAATTTTCAGAAAATAAGTATATTTTATAATCAAGAAAACACTCGTGCATCGATGAAAAAGAAAATAATTAGTACGTATATTATTCAAGGCTCCTGAGTAGTGGCGACAGCCATATTTCGAATCGTGACGTCAGAAGCGAGAAATAACACGTTAATTTCTAATACGTGCCATTTACAAATAAAGACAATTTTAATAAAACAATGATGGGATTGCTTTAAAACATTTGTAAAAATGGACGAAAACTATGCTTATCCTTCCTGACAGTAAATAATCGTAAAAAGTGATAAAAGATACGTCAAGGGCTTTTATTCAATGCGCATGCGTAGCCTGCTTTCACTTACACATGTCTTTTTATCAGTTTTTACGATTATTTACTGTCAGGCGGGATAAGCATAGTTTTCGTACATTTTTATAAATGTTTTAAAGCACTCTCATCATTTTGTTTTATCTAAATTATCTTTATTTACAAATGGCATATAATAAAAATTAACGTGTCATTTCTCATTTTTGACGTCACGATTTAATATGGCTATGGTCACTACTCAGGAGCCTTAAATAACGTATGTGCTAATTATTTTCTTCTTCATCGCTGCGCAATTAAGCACAAAAGTGTTTTCAAAAGTTAACATATCATTTCCCATAATTATAATAAAACTAATATGTTTTATTAGTTTATGAAATCTAATCTTGTTTGTTGTATTAATTTTTGGTCTTGTACACGATTTCCATTGATATTTTTTAAAAACCTAACTGCCGTATTATCTGTCTGTACGTATTTTAATTGTGTATACTTATATTTTTCGTGATCTTTGTACTTACAGATTTTAAAGAACAAATGAAATTATAAATAGAATTGACAAATTCTTACAAATTTTATGTTACCTAAAGAGAACTTTACAGAATTAATATTTATACTTTCAGGTAATGCAACTGATATATATACAATTAAAATATCCTGCCTATATCAATCTCCCATGAATCAACTGTGAGAATCTTTATCTCTTAATCCACATAATAAAATTAAAAGTTAAGCAAAGAGTATCTTAAATTAATATATCTTGACTGAAGAGATATCTTCTATAAAAATAACAGTATTTTTCTTAAAGACAAAAATTGCTTTGCAAAAATGGTGACAGAACTATCAGATGAATCTTCAAAAGAGATGCAACAAATAAATTCAGAACGAAAGATTCATTCGTTTGATGAAGAATTCATTCCATCTGATAATCAGCAAAAACCGATGAACAAGGTACAAATGAAAAAGCAATTAGGCCTTTTGGAAGGTGTAGCTATCATATTGGGAATTATATTTGGCTCAGGTATATTTAACTCGTATTTCCAATAAATAAAAATTCAAGATAGTTTTTAAAACTACAGTGTACTTTTATGTATTTCGTGCTTTTGTACAATTGTATCGAATTTCCGCTAAGTTACATATTTGCAGGCATCTTTATTTCACCAAAGGGAGTAATACAAGAAGTAGGTAGTGTAGGATTATCTCTGATTATATGGGTGCTATGTGGCCTGCTCTCTATGGTAGGTGCCTTATGTTATGCAGAATTGGGTACTAGCATACCTCGCAGTGGTGGTGATTATGCTTATATTCATGAAGCTTTTGGCGCATTGCCTTCATTTCTATATTTATGGGCTGCTAATTTAATTTTTGTGTAAGTAAATTTCAAATTAAATTTCATTAATTGATGTATAATATTGATAGAAAAACATATCTTTGTTGCTTACAGACCTACAACAAACGCTATCATGGGATTGACATTTGCTCAGTATGTTGTACAACCATTTTTTCTTAATTGCGACACTCCGGTTTATAGTGTGCGATTAATCGCTGCATTGAGTATATGTGAGTTTTTAGTGTTTTGTTAAAGATCACCATCATCAAATTTCTAAACGGATTAGGCTCTACGACCTGTGTTCCTATTCAACAGCTCATTTCTTTCTTAGACGCCAATGCCCTCCTTGAAGTCGATAGTTAAGTGCCACCTTTCGCAGTCTCGCGTCTTCCATGCGTGTTTGTACCACCTCTTTCTGTACTATTCCTTAATTTTCTCCTCAATGGCGTGGACTCTTAAATTCTGTCTGATGGCATCATTTCTCATATAATCCGCTCTTGTACATCCTCTAACACTTCTCAGAAATCTCATCTTCACCATTTGGATTTTCTTTGCATCCTGTGATCTCACCATTCAAGCTTCGCATTCGTACAACTATGTTGGCATAGCCATGACTTTCTAGAACTTTAAGAAGGTTTCCTTTCTGTATTGGTTGCCTAAAGTTCTTCTAATCATTCTATATATTCTTATGAAGTTCCTTAGTTTATTTTCGATATTTCTATCGTATTGGTAGGTGATCTTGTAGCCTAAATATTTGAAGTGGATGACTTGTTTCAGCGTTGTATTTTCCAGACTTATTTTTGATCCGATCTTATTCTTACCATGAAATGCTATTATTTTTTATTTACTATTTTATTATATACTATAACATAATCAATTAGGCTCCATTGTCATCTGGTTGTTCATATGTTGATATCTCGCTTTCTGAAAAAAGTGTTCATCACTTTTAAATTATTGATAGTCCAATAATGTTGCAGTGTCTTCCATTGTCATTAACCGTCAGTTCTCCCTGATTTCCTGTGACACTATTGATAGATTCGTTCCCTACTTTTTCAACATTCAAGTTTCCTATTATCATGATGTAGTGACTTTTATTTATTCCATTGTGTGTTTTTAACTTTCTGTCTTTTCTTTTTTCCCCTCCTCTGAGGCGTAAACACCCATAATATTGAGATGATCCCTACATATTTTAGCACTATCCATCTTCTATCTATTAATATCGCTACTTCTACTTTTGCCCTTTGGTTCTGAGATACTCCGCTCCAAATCATAATTTTGTTGTCTATATCCATAATTCCTTTCAGTTTCTCTTTGTTTCTAATAGTATTAATTATCTTTCTTTTATTTATTATTTTTATTATTTTGTCTTATTTTCCGGATAAGCTACCTCTGAGTTTTCCAGGTAGCAGCAATCCTAATATTTTCCAATATCCATTTCCTCTTTCTACATCCGTGTCCATAATCCTTTATCGCCTTTGTTTCTGTTCTGTCCGAGGCTACTGAGGAAATTCTGAATATTGTTAATGACCGCCAAGTTGGGTTATCAGTCCTACGTTGGGTTAAATTTTTTATCGATCTGAGCTAGATCCAATGTATTTTGGAAAAACAGTGTTACCTCGTGTAGGATGTGATATTCAACACGCACATTGATTTAGATCTAATGAAAGCTCCGGTCCTTAGAGCTCTATATTCGCAAAAGACCGTATAGTAGTCTAATCACTTCATCACCTTATTTAAGATATAATGCATAATTATTTGAATGCAAATATACGCTTAAAAGTAAATAGCGACGCGCGTGTATATAATAATATTTATATATTATTTATATATAAATACAGCTAAATTTAAATAATTTAAATATAATTAAACATATTGCTTGAGGATAATTTTATTCAATTTAATATATAAAATATATTATGTTCACCTATAGGTTTCCTCACTTTCATCAATTGTTATGACGTAAAAGAGACATCAAAAATGCAGAATGTATTTATGTTTGCTAAAATTGGGGCATTAATGATTATTATTATAGCTGGATTAATCTGGCTTTGCATAGGTACGTTTCTTAGTAAATCTCTTCAATTCTTAATAAAATTTTAATCATTTATTAAGAATTATTCATTTTAATCTGTTATGTTAATTAGGACACAAAGAAAACTTCGAAAATAGTTTCGAAAACACGAATACCGATCCTGGAAAAATCGCTGTAGCTTTTTACTCTGGCATATTTTCTTATTCAGGATGGAATTATTTGAATTTTATGACGGAAGAACTAAAAAATCCTTATGTGTAAGTTACAAAGATGATTGATTAATCATTCTATAAAAGGAAAAATCGAAACTTCGATTTTACTTCTTGATCATCAAATTAATTGATTGACTTAACTCAATAGAAATTTACCACGTGCAATTTACATATCACTGCCGTTAGTGACCTTCATATATGTTATGGCAAATGTTGCTTATCTGACCGTTTTAACTCCGACTGCTATGATGGCTTCCAATGCTATCGCTGTGGTAAGTAATATTTTTATTCAATGTATAAGATGTCCAGTACATCATTTCTTGTGGGCAGATAGAGCGAAATAAATTTAGTATCGAAGTCTTATACTATTATGTCTTTTAGTTAAAAACAGGGACCAAAAAATTTTAGTCTGGATAACGGTCCAAAGCTAAATCTTTGTTGCTAAGACTTTGTTCTAATTCTTTTACCATACTGGGTCCATTTGCAATTTGAGCCTTTTTGATCCTTTTTAGTTTTCGGTAATTATATATCTGTAACGGTCACTATTGTTACTGAAAAAACCAGAACCAACACCGTAACCGAAAGTTGAGTAGTCTCGGACCATAATTACGATTCGATCAGGCTGAAATTTTAATCCATAATGCAATTTCCGAGTTACTAAAGTAAGCCGATTGAGCATGTAATCTTTAAGAATTAATTTCTTATTAACTATTACGAAAATTATAAAATGGTATCAAAAGACTTTTTGACTCAGTTTAGTCCACCTATAAAAGATGATATGGATTGAACATCCCCCCTGTGTAACAATTAATTAGATTTTAACAATTAGTTAGATTTCAGTAGCACCCCTGGCGAAAAAAATTTTATGAAAAACTAGATAGATTGAGACAAGATCTTAGAAATTCTTGGTTTTTCATAGATATTCGTAATAGAACGTAAAGTGGCGTTGTTTATTTGAAACACCAAGAAATCCTTCAACCTCAAACAACGACACTCTATGTCCCACTAGAAATATTTACAAAAACCTAAGAATTTCTAAGACAAATAAACCTCAAACTTAAGAATTTCTAAAATCTTGTCTCAATGTAGTTTTTGTGTACTTTTTCGTAAACATTTTTTTCCGCCAGGGATTGTTAAACGTATACAAAATTTAGTCTTTTTATTAGACTTTTGGAAATCAACTTCTCGGATATATGGCTTGGATAATACCTGTAATGGTAGCTGTATCCGCTTTTGGTGGATTGAGCGTTCATATTATGACATCATCCAGAATGTGCTTTGTCGGTGCCAGAAATGGTCATTTTCCCTCGATGTTGAGTCACATCAATATGACCAGAGTCACACCTATGCCTGCCTTAATATTTCTGGTGTGTACAACGCTAAATTATGTCTGCTAAATTTTTAAGGCTAATTAAACTTTTAATCTCTCTTATTATAGCTATATTGAATTATGACCTTAGGAGAACAAAAATTAAAAACTTTCTTTCTTATTTTATACATAAAAATAAATTCTTTTCTTTCTTTATATACATCAATCTTTTTGCATTTGCAGTGTATTCTATCCCTCATAATGTTATGCACGGGTGATATATTTGTACTGATTACATATTGCAGTATAGTAGAATCATTCTTCATTATGATTTCGGTAGCTGGAATTTTATGGCTGCGTTATAAAAGACCCAATATGAAACGACCAATCAAGGTAATGTATTTCATATACATGAAAGTATTAAACAGTGTATATACAGGGTATTATCATATAAATGGCTACCACTTTTTACTTTGTAAACTAACAGAGATAGACCTAATAAATATACGTACTCTCAAATTAAACTTTATTGTAAGGCTCTTTATTTTAGCTACGAGTCAAGCATAGCTCGTAGTCCTGTTCTTTTTATTGTTTTAATTTTAAATTATTTGAGCCATTTTGTATCAAATTTAAAATTTAAAAATTATAGAGGTCTTTTTGATTCAATTTAGTACGCGATACTATCTGCATAAAAAGTGTGCGTGCATGCATGCGGGCGTGCGTGTGTGCGTGTGTAGATATATATATATATATATATATATACACACAATATATATGTACATACGTATATAAGTCATTGAAATTTCTTCTCAGATACCATTATGGATACCTATATTGTTCGTAGCATTATGTGCTTTTCTGGTTATTGTACCATGCTACCAAAGACCATATGAAGTTGGTATGGGCATTCTGATCACTGTATCTGGTATACCCGCATATGTCTTCGGTGTTGCTTGGAAAAGCAAACCATTGTGGTTCCAAAAAGTTAACAGTTCGTAATTCTTACAAATGCAATTGATTAAGTTTATTCATTATTTATACATTTATTTAAAATTTTCTACATTGCTTCTCTTATGTCATTAAACAATTCTGAACTTTCTTTGCAGTCAATTCTAATAGCAAGTGATAATGTGTTTATTACGTATAATAATATTGTTATTTGCGTATTCAAGTAAAAAATATAAAGTAGGAAAACAGCACAATATAGGTTATAAATTTACAGAGAAAAGAATGAAAAATAGAAAGGTTCAGAATATCATTGTTTAATTACGTATTTCATTTATTTTTCTATTTTATTTTCAGTTAAAGCTACTCACGCTATACAGAAATTATTTCTGTCTGCAAAGGAAGAACTTGAAATCAATTAAATAAATGGCAATTCTACTTCATCATTCAATATAATTGAATTCAATTCAATCGAATACGATGTTATACATTTGCCAAATTACTTTGAGATTTCAGAAAAAGAAATTATGATTTTACATGTAGGAATCAAAAATTAAAAAATATCAATAATCTAAAAAAAGGCAAGAACATATAATTTCAAAGGATAATGGATATAACTACAGAGAATCCCAAAGGTATTTATTATACTTATCTAAAAATTACATAATAGTATAATGAAAAGAAAGATTAATGATTGAAAAATGAAAGAATACTACGTGATGATCTGTACTGTATATAGAATTGAATAGATCTGATAATTGCATTTTATGATTTTCAATATGCCAAAGGAGTGTCTTTTGTTTTTGTGTGCTACAGTATTATTAATATTATTCTTTATTAATTATATTTATCTACATTTTTAATTCTATTATTGTATATATATTAAGTATTTATAATATATTAATATATATGTGAAGAAGTTTTATAAGCAGCTTTATATTGCAAAAGCTGTATTTTAATGATGTCAGTATATCACAATAGAAAATATAAATGTATATATCAAATTTGTAATTACGAAAGAAGATTACATTGTAAAATATCCCTTTCTTGCTTAAGCCTCCTATACTTTTCGACTTTCTAATATCCTAAATCAGGCCTGTCCAAAACTTGGCTTATAAGCCAAAACGGTTTCACCTCTCCGCCGTCTCGGTAGAGCGAAATACAAACGATTCCGTATAAAACGTTCTTTAATTTACCTCCGGTTAATTATTTCGGCTAAAGAACTCTCTTGGCGAGTCGGCCAACTTCATTTCGCTCTGTGCCGAAAACACAGACCGTTACAACTTTTTGCGCTCAGTACCTTCACTTTCTCTCTTCAATGCTTGAACATATGTTTATTCTATTTTAAATACAAAAACTTTGGGGGATTTCAAGCAGACCTATTGTACTTTTCCGTTCTACTTCATTAAAAGGATTCTAATTATTGTTGGGTGAAACAACTGGTAGAAACAACAAAACTCTTAAATCATTTTTGAAGTTGTTATGATAAATGCACATTTTATTATAGTCTAATATCAATGTAATTTTCAATATTAGATTCAAGTAGTACAATAAAGTTTCACGATAAGATGACCAACAATAATTCATTTAAGATTTGAATTAAAAGCTATTACGTATATTCTTAAGGTGACCTTATATGATCAATAATACTGTCAGTATTATTGATTTAATACTAATTTGTATTATTAATCGTGTAAGATCATCTTATAACAACAAAATACAAAATATAAATTGGCTGCATTTAGCAGAATGATTATTTTGTAACTATTGAAAGTTTTCTTCCTACTTTTAGATCTAGAAGAAGGCTCCTATCTCAGTAAACAATCATAAAACAGTTGCAAAACTATTGTGTTCTGCTGAATGCAGCCATATTTATTTCATTAAGATGATTCTTTAATTAATTAAGTTACCATAGAAATGTCTAATTTTTTTATATAGTGAAGTTGAAGTACCGAACTTGATATATGCAAAATTCTACGGTAGATTAACAATTAAATAAGAGAGAAAAAGAATGTTGAAAATGTACTTTTAATATATAACTTAATGACAGATAAAGAAACGTTTCTTTAACTGACTATACACAAATATTATCATAGATTTCTTTAAAAAAACGAGATAATAGTTTAAAAAATTACGGTTGTAATGGTCACAAAAAAATAATAGGTTAATGGCCATTCTGAAAGATATTTCTGTGTGTAAACTTGCATACAACCTCGAAAAAGTAAACATAATCTGATCTTGTTTTCGTTTGATGAAGATGCAGCTTTTGGTTTACTATTGTATGTTTTATACTATTTTATTAAGATATACACGTAGTTTTAATATCCAAATTATGCAGATAGTTATGATTTTGTGTAGGCCCTGAGGCACCCCAAATTTTCAGTACTTTACTAAATAACCATCTTAATATTATAAATAATTAGGTATACAGAAGTGTGCAAAAGTTTCTGGCCAGTGACATTTTATACTCTAAATAAAAAAGCCTGACAAAATTTTAATCATTATTGGATATTAATATAAGATGTGAGTGATAAAATCTTGTACACCTGATGTTATAACACCTGATTAAAATTTTATCAGGTTTTGTTTTATAAATCACAATAGAATACAAAATGTTATTAGCTGAAAACTTTTGCATGCCACTATATGTATATATTCACATAAAGAAAAGATTTTAAAATGATGTGAAAGGATTAGCTATCTTATTCATTAGTTTTCATTTATAACAGTATGTTAACTATAATGGACTTTCTACAATAAGTCGTTAGTAATAGGTCAGAAGCAAAAAGCGAGTCGTAAGCGAATCAGTAATAAGGTAACAATGAGTCAGTAATCAGTAATTACGTAGAGATGGCCAAATTATATTTCTCACGATTTAAAATTTATGTTACATTAGAACTGACCAATCACATTATATATAATTATTTGCCTTAAAAACTATCATCCTTCTAATTGGCTGAAATATTATGATGTAATAATCTAATACAGATTTAGTCTGGATGTAAGTTTTCTATGAGAAATTAAATTTATGACTTAGAACAAAGATATTCAGAATAAATACTTTTGGCTTAAAATTTAAATGTGTAGGTATTTATGCTTATTTATATTCTTTATTTCATTGCTGTTTTATTGTAGTACGCAAAGCTCTGCTTCAAACACGACATTAGTTTGAAATCGTTAAAAGTTTTTGATCTATATTACTCTCTGTTTAAAAGTATTCTATTGCTATTATTATAAGATACTATTATATTCATAATAGATTGAAACTATAAAAATACATTATAAATAATAATATTAATAACAGAATATTTTGAAATATATTGACTGATGCAGAAAAACTTTTAACAATTTTAGACAGGTCGTCCCTGAGTATCAGCGTCACGCGTTATGATAAAACAGCAATAAAGTGACAAGTAGGAATGGTAATAGGCATAAATATTAACAATTTCAATTTCAAGCCAAAAGTATCCATCCTGGACAATTCTGACTTATAATTCTGACTTACTACTAATATGATATGAGTGATCACTGACAACTTATTGTAAGAAGCCTGTAATTTTATATCACTTTTACCAAACAACAAAGAATAGTTATTGGAACGCATAATCGAACATATAATTCTATTCCTATTGTACACATTTGATACAATCTTGTTAACATCATATATATATTAATGAATGTCTTCTGGATTGAACATTCCCTGTAAACAATTGTAACCAATAAGATTTTCCAAGAGAAAAGAATAAATGAATTAAACTGAACGATAATCCACTATCGTTCAATCTCAATCATAATAAATAAATAAGATAAAATGTCATACTTTAGCACGTCTCAATATGGAATCTTTGCTGGCGTCATATGGATGATCTTTACTTGGAATTTCCAATACAGCGGGTATCGGTTGAGTATGACTATCAATTACGTGGCGAATCATTTCAGCTACCTGCGATAGAATACCAAATATCAGATTACAGAGAATACAAAGAAACATTTTAAATTACTTTTATTACTATAAACAGAGCACAACTTGATAAATCTGTTCGCGTTGCTTGCACTTTTTACATTTAGTAGAATCTGTACTCTCTTTTCTTAATATCCAAATATATATTTTTCATTCTAATTGCAAAAATTTTTAGGAATAGCAACACAAGCAGATTTAATTATAGGACTTTTAAAAAAATTTTTAAATTACCGATGAAATAATTATCTTTGCTACTTACATTCTGGTTAATAAGAATGATGTCAATGTCATCACGCTTGATAAATCGCTTAAAAGTATCCTCTACTTCACTTACTGCTGTATCTATAAAGATATTTTTTATTAATGTACAATGCACCTGAAGTAATGTACATTACCTTAATATAATCGTGTAAATATATTTTTCATAATGATTATAATTATGATTACATTACATTTCTTTATAGAGCGAAATAACAATAAAGAATAATAGATTATCTAATCAGTAATTAACCAATTAGTTTATTGCTTTTTTAGGAATAATGAGGAATACTCAGTTGCATACTAAAGTATTTGCATTATAATATGCGACTAGTACTTACTTTTGTCAACAACCATAAAGTTAGCCTGACGATGTTTATTTATCTCTCCAACTCCACCTAGTAAGAAGCCTACGCAAGTATCCTGAAATAAGATAAATGTTCAGAAGTACTACCACATAAAAAACCAGTTTTTTCAATAATTAACAAAATTAGTTTAAAAAAGATATATATACAATGTTTTAAAAAGAATTCTTATGGAAAAAACTGAATAATTATATTGCATATATTTAAAATGTGAAATATCAATTTTATGTTAATTAAATACCATTTACAGTAGTTATTCAAATCTTTCACTTTATTAAATTGATGAGTCTAATATACTAAAAAAAATAGAAATTTTATGAAAAAAATTAGCAAAGACCCTAGTAAATGTTCATAAGTACTACTCCATCAGAAAACACGATTTTTTTCAGTAATTAGTAAAACTAGTAAAAAGATAAATATACAATATTTTAAGAAGGAGCTTCTAATCCTTTGCTATAATTTTAAATTAATTAAAGCAGTGAATGCATATATATTATAGAGAGATACAAATTTTGAGTCAAACTATTCTCTGCTATAATTAAAATCACATGAAAAAAAACATGCAATTGCCGAGTTTTTCTCAAAAGAACAATAAGTTTTCTTTTAAAACATTGCATATAAGTCTTTTTATAATTAGTTTTAATAAATACTAAAGAATAAGAATAATAAAAAGAATGGGAGAATACTTCTGAACATTTATCAAAAATACCCTCAATTATAAAGATAGAATAAAATTACAAAATTCGTGATATTTAACATTGCAGAATCGTTGAATGGAACAAGTATACACAAGTTAAGTTTTATTAACTAGCAATCTAACAGTTTATACATATAATATATTATAATTTAATTACATATTATTATGCAGCTACTGACGAAAACTATGAGAACAAAATATCAAACTCACGATTCTCTATTGGATTCGAGTCTTTAAAGATCATCTCCGATCAGGTTATAATTAAACATTTACATTTACACTAACCTCGTCGCCAATCACCGCTAAAAGTTTACCCTTTCCTGCAGAATGAAGTGTCATTGTGTTTGTCTTGAAAATAAATTAAATCTCGCAAAAATAGTTTTCGCCCGAAATATATTTTAATGTCGCTTGCACGTCAGCTGACGAAACGTATACCACTCGTCACGTGCCGCATTAAGTCTGTTCACGTTGCTTGCACTTTTGGCACTCGACATCTTCGCTTTCTCTCTCTTTAAAGCAAAATATGTATCTATCTCATTTTAAGTGCAAAAATATTTGGGGATTTCGTGCAATGCGAACAGATCTATTGTCACATTTGTCAGTGTTGCCCCCCCTCCGCGGCTCTGAAAAATTTAATTACTAGTATCTATTCCAAAAATTACCAGTTTTCCCGAACCCGAGATGATAGTGATGTCATGACTGATGTTATTCAAGAATTGTCATTTTCTTAATACTCTTAATCAGTAAAAAAAGGTTGTGCTATCATCATTAAAAGGTATATTAAATTAATCTTATTTGTATTCTTAATATATAAACTTTTTGTTGTCTCGGTTAGAAAAAATATACAATTATAACCTAGAATTGAATTAATTAATTAATTAATGTATATCAAATTGTTACAAATACGCAATATTTTTTTTTGACAATCCAGAAGACACTCTTTTCATTCAATTTCAATAAAATTATGCTGATTTGATGCGATTTTGCATAAAACAAAAGAATGTTCAATCCCGAGACATGAGAATTTTTTTTATCGTTGAAGTTAACTATTGTTAACTATTAGGTTAAGAAATTTGTAACATCGATGACATAGAGGGTTGCACAAATTCTCTGTTTTATAAACACAAATTCTCTGCTTTAAAAATACAAATTATTTTCTATATAATTTTTATTTTTACAGTACAAAAATGCGTCGAATGAGCATTAATTGAAATTGAAAGTGAGAAGCATCTTCTAAATAATTATCATCTTTTTTAATAATGAAAAAAAATTCATAAATACACAAGTGATTATATATTTTTATATTATAAAAAAATGACACCATAAATATCTATAATCAACTTTTATCTGATTTTGATAATTTTATAATTTCCTTTTGGCATTGAATCCCAGTTATTTATAGGTTAAAATTAGATAAATATAAATTAGAAAATTTTTAGTAGAAGAAATAGCTGATAGTGATAATTAAAGATAGGAAAGTAATTCAATATTTATAATGCAGTTAGAGTTTTTCTATTTCAATTTAACTTCATTCCTTTTTTGATTTATAACTAAAACTGTAACTTAATTACATTTTTGGTAATTAAAGCCTATTTTACAATACACATAAGCCTATAAGTTATAAGTGATTGTAGTTGCACAAATTGATTAATCAAATAGAATATAAAGAAAATATTCCACTGTGAGTGATCAATTCTTACAACTAAAACCACTCATAATTACACTCACGGTTGTTGTAGAACATTAGGCATTAGTTAAGATTAATTTGTCTGTTTTGTTATCATAAAACAAATTTTTCAAACTTGATTGTTATAAGATAGACAGATCTGACAACCTCTTTATCCCATAGCTAATTTAAATGCTTGAAAAATGTATCATATAACAAAGAATTGATAAATATAATTAGTTTATAAACTAATTTGATAGTTACTTTTAATTAATTTATATCAACGTATTATACAGGATGTTCTGAATTTAAATGGCCAAACTTCGGGAACATATAGGGAATCGATAAATTAAGAAAAAAAGGTTCTTTAGAAATATGTTTGTTTTGTTTTGGAAATTTTTGCTTTATTTTGAAAAAATTTGCGAAAAAAAGATCTAATTTTTATATATTTTTATACTTATTTATTACTTATTTATTTACACTTATTATTTATTCGCTTTTTAAATATAGATATTGTTAAAAATGTTGGCTTCTTGCAGCAATGCAAGAGGTCAACATGTTTTCATTTTTTTTATCCATAATAGATGCATTACATCTAGTACGGACAGCTCATGTTGTAGCCAAACACTGATATCTGGTGATATTTTGTGCACTGCAGCCAAAATTCGGTCTCTCAATTACTCTCTTGAGTTGACTATCGACGAATAAACTTTCTGCTTCAAGACTCCCTCACACAAAGAAGTCCAGTGGTATTAAATCAGGTGACCGAGGTAGCCAAGATACTACTTCTTCACATACTATCCATCAATATGGATAATGTCTGTTTAGCAAAGTTCGAGTAGTTTTATTATAATGAGCTAGACATCCATTAAGCTAAAGTCACATTTCAATCCGTTGCTGCAGGTGAATGTCTTCTAAATATAATTAGAGAAATCGTTCTCCCAACAAATTTGTATATCTGGCTGCATTTAATCTTTCGAATAAAAAAGTATGATCCCACTAGTAGAGACTCATTCCAAATTTCGAGCTAAACATTAACAGCAAATTCATCCTGAAAACTGTATTCTCTAACAATTCTGGGATTTTCACGAACCCATACAGGACAATTTTTTAAATTAATAATTCCTGTTATAAAGTTTCATTCATCCACACAAAACGAAGCAAAAAGCACATCTCTTAAAGAACTTTTTTTCTTGATTTATCGATCTTCTACTCGCTCCTGAAGTTTGATTATTTAAATTCAGAACACTCTGTATAACTTATTCGCCAACATATGAGCTGAAAATAAAGTATATTAAATAATCAGTGATTATTTCTCATGATTAAAACATATCTTTATTTCTAATCATCACACTCTGTAAATATCTGTATTAAGAATTACATTATGATCCTTACAGTACATACATCAACTTATCTTATTATTGATTTTATAATTTTGATTCCAAGTGTATATATTAATTTATTATAAATATAGAACGTAATAATATGAAACGTAATAATTGAATGTTCAATAAATAAAATAATCTAGTAATGTTATATAAAAATGCATAAGATTCTCTTATATTTAAAATAGTAATGCATAGAAATTATAAAAAATTAACATAAGATTAACTGAAAAATAATAACTGTAATTGTAACATTTTCAGAAAAGGTAACTAGTTACTTTTTGAAAGAAAAATACTGTAACTAGTTAGTTTCACAAGTAACTTTCTCAGTCATACTGAAAATACATCAAGAATGTTCTCAAGTGGGCCGAACTATACAAAGTTGAAAACGCATTTGCGTCTAGCAATCAATCGGCTAAAATTGCTAGAAAAGAAGAAGACAGAGTTGGCGCAGAAGGCACGTCGCGAGATTGCTGATTTTATTGCCACTGGTAAAACTGAGCGTGCTAAGATCAGGGTAGAATATATTATTCGTGAGGACTATATGGTGGAAGCGATGGAACTGTTGGAGATGTACTGCGATTTGTTGCTGGCACGTTTTGGTCTTATCCAGCAAATAAAGTCAGTATTGTGGCTCTATGGTCGGTATTCATAGTCTGCTTTTATTTTAAAACTGCCCCTTAAGTAATATCTTAAGATACTAATACAACTTCGTGATTGGCTTGTGACATCTTAAGGTTGTATTTAAGACAGTCTTAAATATATAATAATGTACATATATTACAATGGCTGCGTTCAGCAGAACGTTTATTTTGCAACTGTTGGAAATTTTCTTCGCGTTAATTGGATTATACTTTTAAATCTAGAAGAATTATATTTCAGCAATCATATAAAAAATCGGTTGTTGAGTCTGCTGAATACACCCAATGACTTGTAATAATAACTTATAAATATAATATCATATTATCTTATAAATATATATTATCAGTGATAACGTATGTTTCCACTCATATTTCCTTCAAACTTTTTGACAAACAAAATCCATTAATAATTCATTAATTAAAATAACAACTTACTTTAAAGCAATTTATTATTCAGGTATACACAATTTTAATTTATTATCTATTCAGAAATCTTGACGACGGTTTGGCAGAAGCTATATCAACCATTCTTTGGGCGGCGCCTCGCATCCAAACAGATGTACAGGAAATCAAGGTGATAGCAGACATCTTGACATCCAAATATGGTAAACAGTATACAGAAGCTTGCCGAGAAGAAGCAATTCAAACCATATCAGAAAAACTGAAGCATAAAATGAGCGTGCAATCACCATCAAAATTGCTTGTGGAGAAATATTTAATAGAAATCGCCAAGAATTATAATGTGGAATATGAACCAGATCCACAAATAATGGCAGAAGCCCAGGATGCGATGTTAATAGACATAGGAGGGGAATCAAGGAACAATCTGGACACAGCCAGTGGAGGAATACCTCATCCTCCTGGCTTCATAGGTTATCCACAAGCACCTCTATTACCCGATCCTGGATTTCATTCGAGCGTGGTAATTTAAATCTATTTTTTATTTAAAAATGGAAGAACTAATATAATGTTTAGAAATTGGCAAGCTGAATTTATGAAATTATTTAATAATGATTTCTAATAATTTTAGTCATTGCATCATTAAAAATATCATGTTCCAGGATTCGGAGAAAGATACTCATACCTTAGGATTTGTATCCCCAACATCTCCACCTTCTGTTGAAAAAGATCAGAATACTTCTTTCAATCCCGCTACGCTTTCGTACAACATACCTCTAGACAATGCCAATTCGAACAAACCCGTAAGTAACTTGTGTTTATTGTCAATAATTTCTCAAATTATATTTTTCTATTAATATTAATAGTTATAATAAACCATTTTTTTAGTTATAATATTTAAAAAAATCATTAATTATAGGAAGATTTACCACCACCGTACCAGTCTAACTTCCCACCTGATTTAAATAAACAGGTGAAGTCATAGAATATTCTCATTCTTATAATTTTTAAATAATTATTAAAATAAATGAAGATATTTGTTTAAAATATGAAAATATTTTCATAAAATTCTATTGAATCATAAGAACATATGTACAATTATATTTTCCATATATAGTCAGATGAGAAACCAAAACCCCAGCCAAGGTCCAAGATACCAATAAACAACTATCAACTTCCGGATCTGCCAGCAGTGCCGACAGAAAATAATGATTTGCCCGCGAATTTATCCGTAAATGATGACATTGATTTTGATGACTTGATGAAGCGATTCGAAGACCTGAAGAAGAGGAAGTAACGATCAATAGAGAGATAAAAGCAACATATGTTATTTTGTTATCACTTTATCCTCGCAAGGTGTTATATTTAGTAGTGCCTTGTGCAAAGAGAAAAGGTCTAGCAAATTTATGTTAGTCTCTAAGCTTTTGCAATAAGGAAAATAAAAATATATAATTATGCTTTATCCACGAAAAACGTGTATAAAAATACACATAAATTGTTATATTAATTAACGTGTTAATCTTTTTCATTTTTATCATTATTACATATACTCCATAATGTTTTATAATAAGTGTATATAATATTTTCAAATTAATATTTTTATGAGAATTTTTGATCTTCCTATTTCTTACTTCTCATTTTATATATTTCTTCTACAGAAATTGTTAGATATAAGATGTCTATACAATGTTATCAGTCATCCCAATCTTCGCATCTCTGAAAAAATCAATTATGTAAAAAATATTAGAATTCTTTGTATTTTTAAAATTTATTCTCATAGAATTTTTTAAATACCATCCTTTATTTTACTATAATTTAACTTTATTAATTAAAATTTTTATTTTTATTAAAATTTTTATTTTTATTAATTAAAATTTTTATTTTCTAAATTAAACTTCTTTATTTATTATATACTTATATATTTTTTTAATTTATTCTAAGAAAAGAGAAATTCTAAAATGTCCATACATTATTAATAATCCAAGGAATACAAAATTGTATAAACGTTTCTATAATTGTTATGCCACTAAATTGTGATCCTTGACAAATTTGTATACATACTTCTTTTCCTTTGTCAATTAAACAAGTTAGGAGATTTTCCGAGAAGTAACATGCATTCTGTCTCGCATCTGAATCCAAATAATGAAAACATTCTATGACAGCTTCCTCTATCAAATCCTGTAATTCTGGATTGTGTGTATTACGTGTCATAAACTGAATGATCGAGACTTGCTCAGGATATCCCCTTTGATCTACCTATTAAAAACCACAGAATTGAGAAAATCAGTCTAACTCTATTAAATAAGTTAGAAATAGTCTATGTATTTACCATATTTAATTCATTGAAGAAACACTGGGTGATGCACTATAATAAAATTAAACAATACTTTGTATTAATATAAATTGTTAAATTATTGTATTGATATTAGACATCTATTACGATGAAAAGACATATTACTATTAACTTGAAAACTAACAAAAAAGTATATAAAATATTTTAGAATAATACTTATTAATTATTAGAGAGAGAAAAAGAAAGAGAGAGATATTTTTCTTTATTATTTCTTTTAGTTAAGATTAGAGATCAGAAATGTTTAATCTTTGTGTACATAGTATTATGACTTCTGCATGTTGCACGCGACAAAATGGCTGCATTCAGCAGAGAAAGCAGCTTTTTTTTTTAAATTCTTTAATATGATTAGTTTATACATTTACATCCATAAGGAATCAAAAGCAAGAATCAATCGTATTGAAGAATTTTACAACAGTTGCAAAGCTTTCTCTGCTGATCATAGCCAATTTTGCCGCATGGCAAACGTTTTCACATCCGATGTTGTTCAGTGTGCAGAAGCTATTATTGCTACAGATGATGATTGCATTTCTTTTATTTTACATTTTTTTTAATTTTAATTTTAGTTTGCCGTTTTTTAAAATATGAATATTTTGAGAAAACAATATGTATGTATTTATACATAATTGGAGCTCTATTAATATAAAAAAGAATACGAAATGTTCATATTTCAAGAGTGGATCTGGACACGGAGAAAACCCACGAAACGCATAACTTTTATAAAAAAAAATAATTAAAATTGGGCTCTTAAGATAAAAATTAAACAATAAATGAAAAAACGGGCAATTAAGAGCCTAAATTCGCAGTAATTGAAGCGATTATGTCAATATATATTTCTCAGTACGACATATATATAACAAATACTGAACGTTTCGGCTTAATTCAAGCCATCTTCAGCAGTCTAGTATAATAAAATCTCTTGATAAATAATTCGAGACATCTATTAATATATCTTACTTGTTCTTGTTGCCTGCCATAATTCTCAAAGTTGTCATATGTCTGGTCATAGCTCGACCTACCAGCTCCATTGGAATAGCTGAAATCGTGATTATTGCTGCTACGAGAAGAATGACTGCTTTGCCGGTTTCCGTTTGTATAACTAATGAAATTGCGTCAATCGTTAATATATTTTTCTGATCGTTTCTACGATTCCTTAATTATTACATAAATATTAAGTCGGCGATACACGATGTTTGTTTTCCTACTGGATTGCTAGTTGGATTAGAATCTTGCCATCCTAATAGTACGGTAGGAAGAATCTAATCCAGTTAGCAACAAACATCTTGTACCGCCGGCTTTAATTATACTGATTTTAATATTTTTAGTTCTTATTATTATCTAATCAGTTATTCATGGATGATTATTTCATCTTGTTTCGCTACCGATTCTCATTAGGATCTTTCCAAGATTGTATGTTGGAGAATTTGTTGCCGCCATTCGTAATAAAGAATCTTGTACCAAACAAATCTACGCTTAAAGAGTCATCGCCTTCACTTGATGAATCATTATTGCTATGATTGTTATCAGTTTTAGATCGTGCCTTGCAAATCTGCATAATCTTCTGATATTGATCGTGTTGAACCTGCTGGACACTTGATCTGCATTTTAATGACTGCAAGCATAAAAATTTGCTGAAAGAATTATTATGTATTTTTAGTCTTGACGATGCTGTAACTTTCAAGTCTCATAATGCAAGAAGCTTGACGCTTAATTGACCACCAACGAGATACTATTAAAGATATTATTGAGCGC